AAAAAAAAGAGAAAGAGAGCATTGTTATTGATGAGAGAAAAGAAAGACAAAAAGATGAGAACAAAAAAGAAAAGAAAAGTATGAGATAGTGCTATTGAAGTGTGTTTCTAAAAGACAAAAACGGAAAAAACAATTGAAGAATATGGTTGAAAGTAATGTTTTCTTGAGATAACTTTTTAAATTGCTAAATATCTTTCATTTCAAATCCCTTATCCTAAGGCCTCATTACAACTATAGAAAGACCTAATTGATCTCAAGAGTATGTTGGTTGATACATAAATTGTGTAAATAAGGAGGAGATTGGTGATTGTTTTGCAATCTATATTATTGATATCTTTTCATGAGATTATGTTAAGTCCTTTCATTAAAATAGTGGTTATTTGATTAAGATATATGTGAGTTACTTATTGTCTTGATTTTCATTAACTCTGCTCACATATGGTACTAAGATGTGTGAATAGTTACTATAATCAGAGTGAATTGTTTGTTGAGTATATATATTGGTAAGATTTGCAATGAAACTAATCATTGATAGTTGATGTGGTAAGGTATTATTTGCTGAATTTTTGAACTTGCATTGCTATTTCACATCACACATGAGTTTCAAATGGGAATCCAATATACGAATATTGCTACACAACATTTAGTTCTATAGTGTGACTTTGTATTGACTTATTCAAGTTTTGAGTGAATGTTTCCAAGTTTTGATTGTTAATTTAAGTAATGTTTTTATGATTCAGGTTGTTAATAAGTTAAATCAAGTTTATAGGTATCTACCCTAAAATTTTTTAAGAGACTATAGCTCATTTACTAGGGGTAACCTAAGGGTTTAAATGCTTGTTGCATATGCTAAATGCAATCAAAATTACATACGAAAGTGATATTATTCTTATGTGTTTTGAGTTTTTAGGTAGTTGTTTCTATATCTTGAGTTGATGTTAAAATTTCTTGAGTCACTTTGATTACAATATGTTAGTTGGTGGGGGGGGGGGGTTTGATATGTCAAATCCACATATATTTGAATTTTTATGAAAAAGGGTAAAACGGTAATTTATCACTACAATACAGGTAGAAAACCAAAATTTTTCTAGAACTTGAATGATGAAACAAACCTCACTGTTGGATTCGTATCGTGAATTCTAGTTACCCAGTCAATTTTCATCGAATTCTGAGACAGTTGAATTTTTTGTGTTTTTCGAGGTGATTGAGTGTCGCGTGACCTAAAAACAAAGTATGAAATAAAATTTTGAAAGTTAAAAAATAATTTAATGGAAGTTCATATAAAAATAATTTAAACTTGAATCAAGATGAAATTTAATCATTTCAGGACAAATTCGGACCCGAGAATGGAGGTCGTGTGGCGCTATGAGGGTTAATCATTCAAGAGGTATAAATAGGGGAAAAAATCAGATTTCTCCTCATTTGCCCGTCAAATTTTATTGGAGAGAGGAAGAGAGAGAAAAAGAGAAAAGCTCCAACTTCTCTCTACGATCTATGGAGTTCCTGTAGTCGGAATCCTTCGGGTCAAGTATTAAAGTTGATCTACACGACAAGGGCTACACTTGCGTACCAAAAAGAACGGATTTCACCGAAGTTTCTAAGATGAGATTTTGGATAAATCAAAGGGGTTGATTTTGGTTGGTGTTCTTGAAGGTTTTACAACTTGTTTTACATTTCAAGAGGTAGGATTTTCATCCTAACTAGATTTATTTTCAATTTAGGTTTGAAATATGAAATGTGTAGGGTGTTAGAGATGTGATCTCATGTTTAGCACATGCATATTGTTGTTGAAATGTGAAAAATGGATATAGAAATGGATAAAATCAATTCTAGCTTAAATTGGGTATGTAGAAATTACTTGAGGTGATTTCTTAAGTATGTGATGAAATTGGGCATTTTTATGTGATTACATGATTTGGTGTTTTGAAAGTATTTGATTAAATATCTATGTGGATTAAGTTTGTTGATTACATTGACTATGTTGTAGCATGCTTGATTAAATATCGGTATGCGGAATTGGCGGTGAGACACCAAAATTTCGTTACCTAACAAAGATACATGGTTTATTTTAAAAAGACCATTGGATGTGAAACAACAATGGCAAGGGCTTGAAATGCCCGATTGTATACTCCTGGCATTGCATGGGTGATGAGAGCCAGTAAAAGCTCGGATTGAGTTGCATGTGTGAGTCTCATCTCATAACATGGTATGACATAAATGATCCGTCATTGAATTGCATATTCTTGAATGGATGATTGTAGCTTATTGAATTTGCATGTAAACATTTCATATGCATCTAGGTTGGAGAGTAGCCTTTTTAGGAGATAACATTTCGGGTGCAAGATATGCGCCGGTGGATGGCTCTGACTCGGACACTTATTGATAAAAAAGAGCCGAAATGTGGCTTTAAATCTTATTTTCGTAAAACTAAGATATTATCTAGTTTTTGGAACATTAATTGTATGTAAAGGATTGTATCGAACTTGTGTGAACTGTATTTTGTTTAAAATGTCATGTTATATGAGTTAGGTTGGCGTGGTACAAGGTTAGAATGAATTGGAATTGAAAAAGGATAGAAACAAACGAAAACTGATAAGACCTACCAGTAGAACAACAAGCTCTTCTACTGGTAGAACTTGTCCAGTAGTTAAGCCTACCGGTAAACTTCAAGTTTTGCAGTAGAAATTTTCTATTGGGTTAAACCTACCGGTAGAAACTTTTTCAGTAGCTTTTTCTACCAGTAGATCTTAGACATCTTTTACCAGTAAGTTTTATTAAATTCTCAAATTTTGAAATGTTTTGCTAGGCCTATGGGTCTTGAGTTCTTTTGTATAAATGATATAAATGGACATTAAATGAGGATAAATTATTATATATTGGACCTCAGATGGATCATGTGATCGAAGTGTACACAGGTTGTGCTTTTGGGAGTGCTCGGTACAAGTAAGACTCTGCCCAAACTTTGTGTTTTTGTGATACCGGTAAAAGGAATGTTGTGCCGTGGTGTTGGGTTACACGACATTCACAGGTATTTCTGTGAGTTAATGGGTGATCAACGTTTTGACAAAGGACCTCCAGTTTTAGGGGTGTCAAATGATAATGATTGGAAATTGTATTATTCTACTGATTTAGATAAGTATTATTGCAATTCTTTTAAGCATATTGTTGCATTTAAAAAAATTAATATTTTCACCTCATTAGGCTTGATTTGATGCAATTGGTAAAAAAACGTACTTTTTACGATATTCTATTTTATAGGAGATTTAAACCCAACCAATTCATCCGAAAGTCAGAGGATTGAATGTTTAAGATTTAAAGATGAAGATTTAAAGATAATTCAACAATTTAAGCATTGTGGAAGTTCAAATTAGTAGAAAACTTATTCAAAATTAGATTATAAAAGTATTCTAGAGATAAGGTTTGACATATCTTCCGTAATTTGACTATTACTTTTGACTCCAGTATTGGATTGAGAAAGTTTTAGCAGCTTTGAAAATTGGGAGTTTGAATCCTTCATGTAATCCTTTTTCTTTTTCTTCTTTCATTGATTTCATGTCTATGGATTGCTAAATCCCAAAATTATTGGAGATTTACCCATGACTAGTGAGTAATTTTCCTAGTACCTTTTAACTAGGGTATGGATTTTTGATTATTTTATTGAATAATTATTTTATGAAATTCTGATTTTGATCTTAATGATAAATCTTTATTTCTCTTCAAGATTGATCGAATGTTTTAGCAAAGTTTTATAGTCTGTACAATTATTTGATTTTTTATTAACAATATTGAATTCTTGTCATATTCAATATTTATAATTCTCTAAGAGTTTTATAAAACTAGTTCTTCAAATCAATTGAGTTATATTTTTCGGTTGACTACATTGATTTGGAATTCAATGTAGTTATTATAAATTACATAAATATAATTATTTGATGGACATGTGCAGATCCAAATGCTGAAACTAAAGGGTCACTATTCTAACAGTTATTTATCTCAAGTTTAGTTACCATTGTTGTCCAACCAATTGAATCTTTATTGTTGTTCTTTTACTTCTGTCTTTAATTTTCCTTAATCCTTATAGTCTGACCTTGGGCTTCACCAAAATATTACTATTTTTTGACTATCTAAACTTGGGTGTATCTTTGAAGATCAAGTACTAACCATCCTTTGTCTTGAATAAGAAATCTCCTTTCTTCTCACTTTGTCTTGACGCACTACCATCTAATCTGCATGTCTTTAGTTGTATTGTCCTATTCCATATTCATAATTTGAGTCGTGATAAATCTATCCTATAACGACCAGGTATATCTCTCTAAGATATTCTTGTATCTGAATGATTTTTAAATTTTGATATACTTGCATCCTCTTATCTTTATTTTGTCAAAGGGTATTTTATAATTTATACTTCTAAAGTATATACTTATTTTCTATCTGGTCTATAAAACTCCAATTGCAATAATTAAAGAAGTATGCCTATCTAGCAAAAGTGTCTCTCCGATGTATCTTATAATATTTTTCAAAGTCTAACTTTATATTTTTTTCTTCAAGGTAGTTATTTTTTAATCTCAGAATCAAATGAAACATATGAAATTTTCTTGCCTATCGGGTATGGATATTTTGCCAAACAAATATATATTTTGTCAAAATCATATGTTGATCAAAGAAGACCATTCCATCCAAATAAATTAATAAATTTGTAAGATTTGTTTCTTTTATTGTAATTTTAGAGACAAAAAAATAAAATAAAATAAAGTGCAAACTTTTAGAAAAGAAATTGTAATTTGTCCACAGGCAAATTCTCCATTTCAAACCCACCTCGGTGCACCTCACTCCCTCCCACGCCCTCTGAATTGTCTTCCCCAAAACCCAAGCCTTATCCACTTGTCTACATATGTATTCTTTGCGCCAACTTTCTAACACATTGTAATGGCGAATCTATTAACCAACGGACATTTCCCTTTAACATTCACACACCCAACAACATACTACTCCTTTCCCAGCTCCCGAAACTTCGTCGTGTTGGCATCGGCGGTGTATTCGCCGGAGAGAAAAACCAGGAGGAAAAAGAAGCAGCAGCAGCAAAAAGAAGACGACATTACTGCGGTGGTGTCGAGTACAGAGAAAGGGCTGAGATTAGTGTTCATGGAGGAGCTGATGGTGCGCGCTCGCAATCGGGACGTCGCCGGAGTTTCCGAAATCATCTACGACATGATTGCCGCCGGACTTAGCCCTGGTCCTCGCTCGTTTCATGGTCTTATTGTTTCCTATGTGCTTAACGGCGACGGCCAGGGAGCTGTAAGTTCTCGTACACATTGTTTTTCCAAGTTGCTTTCTTTGCCATTCGATTTTCTATTGCATTATGTAGATTGAAAATTCTGTCAATTAATCTGGGATTTGAGAGGTTGAATATTTGCAACAATGCCCTTTATTTGCACGCGTTAGGGGACTCTTAATTTCAGATTTTATCAATATTTGTCAAAAGTCAATCATGCACCATTCATTAAGCTACTGTAGTGAGATTTTGTGGATCGCATTGATACTGTGTAGGGGGAAAAATCCGTACCTATCAGAATCAAGAGAGCTGTCTGGAATAATCACTCGGGATCACCTATAACCTGCAAAACAAACGAACTGCCACAAACCGGTGGGGTATCAACCGGAGACACTCCGATGCTTAAGTCGGTCAGTAATGACACGAGAGAGTGTGTATTCAATTTCCCAGAGAAAGTGTGCGTACCTTAGACTTAAGTTTTTCCGGTATTTATAGGGAGCCTGTCTCAATTATTTAGGATTACAGTCCTCGTTGGAATATGGAGGTACACCGTACACCTAGATTTTAGTTGGACCTTCCTAGATTCGTGTTTGAACCTTAAAGGGTTTTGTTTCTCATTAGTCGATTTAGGTGACATGTTAATTATGTATTTCTATAATTTAGGCCATTCCCTTATTGTCTGGCTAGCACTCTCTGATTTTTTGGGATAGCTTAGCGACCTGCTCGGTCAGATCTTATCCTCTGCTTTGTTGGACCTACTTTAGCTCGATTGGGATGACCTAACTATTTGTTCAGTCAAATCTTATCCTTTACTCGATCATAGTAGAGGCATTCTAAATAACTATTTTCAGCACTTGCCATGTGTTCCAGTCCAATTGTCTGATGATGATTAGAGTTTATCAGCCCCTTCATTTGTTCTTAGAGAATATTTTCCATGTGGCACACCGGAAGATATTCTCTATTTACAATCCTTTCTCTCATTAATTGCCTTATATCGTTCCTTACAAAAAAATATTTTTTGTCTTTTTCTCTTAGTAAAGAGGTCCTACCTCAATGAAGAGCTCGAGCGTTCAATACTTAGAAAAATTTCAATCATGGTCCCTGTCCCTTAGCCAAGAGGACCTGCCTCATTGAAAGATTCGGGCATTAGTTCTTGGTCACTTGTTGTGACCCTTGCACCGATCAGCTGATCTAATCGGTTTTCAAACTTTATTTGTTTGGCTTATACCGTCGTGCTTAGCCATGGGCTTAAGTTTGATCGGATGGCTGCACCCTAATTTTCCTCTCTACCTTAGCAGGAGGTTGGCTTATGCCCGAGCCTTCTCGGATCTTTTGCCTAAAACTTCATTCTTAGGATTTTTTTCCTTTACTTTGGCAAAGGCATACACGGTCGGCCATAGGCCCCTACTTGTGTTGCTCTGCCTTGACAGAGGCTTATGCATCCACCTAGCTTTGTGTTTTTAGATGTTGTGTTTACAGGTAGGCTGTAAATGAATGCCCCCCTCCATCTTAGGGTTGGTTGCCCACTAGGTCAGTCATGTGGTAGGTACTCCACAAAAAGATTAGTTCTGAAGCTCAATCTTATTCATTCATGAGAGGTACTCCGCTGTTAGGCATTTTTCATGTGGCTGGTACTCCACAAAAGGATTAACTCTTGTTAATGCCAGAAATTGACAGTTGGTCTCCAAGGCGATTATTGGCTTCCACCACCCAAGGGAAGCTCCTGCAATGGAAAGTCGAAGACTGGAGGGGCTTTGGGGTCGGTTCTCCAATGCTTAATTCAAAAAAAGGAATGAGTAGACTGAATATCATGTTGGAGTTATGATTACTTACCTTTTCAATCTCCTCTCCTCCCTTTTCATAGGCAATGATCATGTCGTTGGGATGTTTATCCCTTATTTGGATTTGGGTGAATCCTAGATGTCCAGTAGTGGAATAGAGGTAGAGTCCTTATCCAAGTGTAAGTCCTAGGCTGAGCTGGGTTGGTCATTTCTAGAGAAATTAGACTCTAGCAAGCTGATGTGCCCTGTGCAGAACTTGTGCTCGAATACCTATCATCAAGTCTAAAGCTCAATCTTATTTATTTGCGGGAGTAACTCTGTTGTAGTAATTGTAGTAGCAATAAGCCCCACTATAAAGCTCGGATGTATCATACATAAAAGGATGTCAACTCATATATTGGCCTATATCGTTCTACACTAGTCGAGGCCCTACTCTCTTTCTCATCAAAGTTCATTTCGTACCAATAAAACACGTGGTGCTTATTCGTAAGTAATAAGAGTTCCTTTATGTGTTTGGCTCCATTGTGCTCGGGCTGGTGATTCCGATAACTGTATCATTTACTTTGAGCTCAACTCTTGACCTTCGTATTTGACTAGGCACATGTTGTGGTTCTCAATTATTTATTTTGCTATGTGAGCATTAGAATTAACATTCTTCTTTGGTAGATATGAAAGGCTTTGCGATTCAAGAATGTTAAGCCTGAAGTGTAATTATGCCAATTTTGTTCCTTTTCTCCTTGGATTGAATAACGCATCCTCAGTTAACCATCTTAATGGTGCAACTATGGCTGAGGCACGTACTGCTGACTAATTTTGATTGTAGGAGGAATTTTAAGTCCGAGGAGGGAGCTTTCTTGCTTCCTTGCTTATGTCCATCACATTTCCACTTCAATTTGTGATTTTAACTGTTGAGAAGCTTTGGGTGATTATGCCAACCACCCCTTAATTTTGGCAATGATTTTGATATTTGCTCGATGGTTACTTTTGAAGAGAGGTATTGTGATAGGAATCGGATTATATTTCGTTATAGTAGGCGTAGAGATTAGGAGTTATTTGTCATTTTACTTTTCAGGGGTTTAGTTGTCATTAACATCAGTTTGACTGTTCAGTTGACTTCTTGTTGAATAGTCTTACCATTGCAGACTGCGGTAGTTGATTGTCATGGTGATTCTACTCTCTCTTTTAATGAATCCGTTATCGATCAATCCTCTTATTTGTGCATTCATCGGTTGAAAATTATTTTTGCTGAAGGGATGTGAGACTGCAAAACCCAGATAGCTTTGGGTGATTGATATCCTTGGTTTTAGCTTTTGCTCCCCAGGTTAATTCGGTGCATCACAAGATGGCTCTATGTATGATGCTTTGCTTGGCACTGATCAGTCTGCCTCTGATCTAACTTCTCTCAGTGTTTTTATTAGGATGATCTTTTACTAGTATAAGGCAATAATGTTAACGGAATTAGCTACCCCACTCAGTTTGGAGACATTAGAGCTAAAAAATCAAAAGTTGAGGAGCGAAGTGAATTGCTTTTCTTGATCACATGAACTTTTCATTATCAGGTGACTGCTTAGCTTCATAAGTGTCATGGTCGGATGATAGCTCCAAAAGTATAATCATTCGGATTCTTATAACATGTCCATGCCGACATAATGTAGTCTTTTAAAGCAGCTTTCTGTTTTGCAATACGTAACTGCTTTGGCCAATGCAAGCTCATGTCCTCCAAAGTTTCCCAGTAACTTCACTAAGAGCACAAAATTTTGAGGGTGTACTTGTTTAACTTGGTGGTGCATTTATTATTGATGCGTACTGTGATTTGTTGGCCAATATGGGGATCAGGTATTGGCATCGTTTGTGTTTGAGAATGATAGTGAAGAATTCATACCATATCAAAGAGAGCCTCTACTTGTCGTATTATAAATGGTGTGCCGATTCTTTTGGATCAACTGATGATCTTTGAGAATGACCATTATTGCTTGATCTAGATAATAGGCCGACCTTAGCTCTAACGTTGCCGATCAAACAGCTAAGAAATGGTTGATTTTGCTCGAGCATCAATGGTAGAATGCTCATTTCTTTAACAATCTAATCATATTTAAATAGTTGTGGCAGCTGTCTGTACCCAATAGAGAAAACCAGATGGATTTCAGCTCGTTTTTAAAGCGTCTTCATGCCAGAGAGCTCTGTGTGGAAGAGCGAGCTGAGATTGAGGTTGGGCCGCCATGGCGATAGTTCTGTTGGACTGTTAGTCTCTGTGTTAAGAGCTTTGTGCTATCATTTTTGGGAAGCTTTGGCTATTGCTAGGTTGGCACAACAATAACGAGCCAACTCGATTTGGGCGTATAAATAGAGCTGAAATTTTATTTTTTCTAGAGCAGTTAGACCATTGTCTGAACACTAAGATTGGCTCGGGTTAACGGCGATAGAAACCTTTGTTAGTAGTCTCTTATCTTCTCATGATCCGATATGATGATAATATCATTCAAAGGTGCATCAACCTTTTCCGTGTGGAATTCTTCAAAAAGATAGCTTGAATTAAGGGTGGGCTGCCATTGATATGCCCCCATCGTTTATTCATACGGTGCTGACCATGAACCTTATCTTTATACATAATGATAACTCTTTGACCTTGCCAGTGATCGAGGGAAAATATCATAACGAGGTGATGATCCACATCTTCTCATGATGATGTCAAAAGTCGAAATAATGTCATATATAAAATCGGTGTCTGCATAGCAGTGTGCATTGAAGACAAATGGCCGTTGATAAGTCCTTCCAAGAGTATCATTGTTGCCATGAGGTGGTGGAGTCGTCAGCGTGACCAAGTGAGCTGCAATTAAAAACCGAAGGAAAAATATGATTCTACCAGCTAAGCTCTGCCTGGAACAAGAGGTTGCTCTTGATATCCGTCCTGTTTGCCCGCTATGACAATTCTTAATAACATGAGGTACCGAAGATGTTTTAGCAGGCCCCATATATCTTGTATAAGAAGTAACCCGGGTGCTTATTCAATCAAAAACTTGGATTCATGACGTCAGGATAGTATTTGATATCAGAAGTAGTGTTAGGACAAAGGCATGTCCCATGCATTGTAGCAACGACATTTGCTCTCTGTTACATGTGCTTTCATGGTATCATGCGATTAATCTGCAGTCTAGAACAACCATACAGTTCCAATAACAATTTATGGTTTGTTTTGTTTCTTTTAATTCACTCCAAGTGCCCCGTTATTATTGTTTGGTGCTTCAGTTTATTGCAAAAGTAGAGGTGAAATGTATGGGAAGGCTGGTGTGAATATCCTTATGGCAATGCTCGTATTTGTTCTATGGCGTATAGCATAATTGTACTTTGATTCATAAAGTTCAAAGACAATCAAACAATCACCCCAACAAGATATGAGAAATAAGGCAATAGATTTTATGATGAAATAGCTGCTAGTAATGGGCACAAGGGCACTTTAATTACAAAGCCTAAGTTGTGGCTGGTCCTACTATTCTCAATCTGTCTCTAGTAGAGTCACTTGTGACAAATCTATGCTTGTATCCAAGCATCATGTTACGCTAGAGGTGTAATCATATTCAAGGATATTGACATTATGGAGTCGGACATCGATGGCTTCTTTATGATCTGTATCTCTTAATATGTGAGCATAATATGTGTTTACACTATCATTAGTTTTTTTTTAATGTCTAATTTGAGAGATAATTTATCGATTTTTTCCTATGAGCGCACACAATACCAAAAAAAAACACAACAGAACAACTTAACTAAATAATGGTTGGATCGTCTGGGTGCATGTGGTAAATTATGAAGTCATGCTTTTTCCCAATGAGAAAATTCCAAGATAGATAATTAGTGCTACGAACCATCCTTCTCTAAGTTCGTATACAATATACATTAGTCTAAGAACTTAATATACAATAAGCAGCAAAAATTGTTAAAAGAAGGAATGAAATTACCTGACTTGACAATTCCTCCTGGTGAGAACAAGTCTGTATGAGAATATTCCAATGGGATTATGTATATTCGAATTCTTGGGCCTCATCAATTTTCGAATAGTTGGTATCTATCTATGTAGGTCCTGCCTTCCACGAATCAAGTGGTACACTGTGATTCATCTCAGATTCATATCGTTTAATTCTTATTGATTAACTCTTGGGTCGAATATCAAGCAATCGACCCTCTTGGTCTCGTTTTAATAGACTGACCTCTGGGTTGAGCATCTGCTGAATATATTTGGATAAGTCTTGCTTATCAACATCTCTTTATTGATTCAAGTAATTGACCTCTTGGACCTTTTTGGGTTTAGATCTCAAATCAAAATAATCAAATATAAAGTATCTCTGTTATGCAATTCTTATCCAATAATTCATACGAAATCATGGGCCATTTGTTGGATCTCATGTATTTTACCATTAAATATGCAAAACCAACCTGGGTGTAGAAAACATTCATCAAGATATACTAGTCACATGGGCCAGGGGAAGAGCCTTTGAATTCTTGAAGCCACAAGATTATTTATTCAAGATTCTTGAACGATCACAACAAGTGATGTCCAAAAATTAGTAATGTGAACAGTACTCCACCTGGGAGTAGCCTCTCCTTGATCAAGCTTGATTTTAAGCCAATTTTCACCTTGCGTAGTGGCACACTACGTCAAAGATTAATACTTCCCTCATGGTTCATATGCTAAGATCATCAACTATTTTCTAGGAAAAACTTATGCTTATTATCAGTGGGATCATGTGTAGCTTAAGTCTTGGGCCTCACTTTCCATAGATCATATGCCTACTAGGAATCAAGTCACACACTTCGATTCCTCTTAGAGTTGTCTCATTCAATTTCATCAGCTGACCCCCTTGGGTAATTTTCCCTTTGAATTCCAATCTCGGATCATAATAGCCTGACGTGATGTATCATAAAGAAAATATATTTTTCATTTTGAAATCCTTACTCGTCGTAGCATATTGAATCAAGCTCCATGCTAGTTGATCACATATATGCACACAAATATATCATGAGATTTCATCACTTTTTTGTGGTGTTGAGTTCCGACCCTCTTTGGTCTCTTTCTCATTAGCTGACCCTATTGGTCCAGTGCTTCCTTGCATTGGGATTAAGATTGATCACAAACCATAATAAAAATTGAATCATCTCAAAGGCACCATATTTCATTTTTTATCACTCTGTGCTCACGTCGAATTCAAGCTAAAACTTTTATAATGTGAAATAAACCAGAATATAAAAGAATTCCATCTCTTCTTGTTGAGCCCATGGGACCCAAATAAAGGGTATTTCACTTCTTCTAGTATGATCGTCTGTCCAGTTGGCCTCATTGATCTAATTTCTCTTTAAGATCTCATGATAATTGAGTTATGTCCGAAGCATAATATAGCATAAAACATAAAATCATACCTTTCTCAAGGATCTCTTACCCTTCAAAGCATGTCAGATTGGGGATTGCAGGCATTGATCACATGTATGTATACTCCTTAGACATCAAATATGCAAAGCAAAGTCAAAGGATTCGCATACAATTGGGATGCTATGTAGGGGCTTATACGAAGAGATCCAAAATTCCATATTCTTTTATCTCCATAGATGTTCCACTGATTTCTCATGCGACTTGTGAGTTCTTGGTTTAATACAAAGCTGGCAATTTGTTGCAGTATTCGTTGGCATGATGGTTGATTTGTAAGTACTCATCACTATCATTTCCCACAGACGACGCCAATTGTAGGGGGAAAACTCTGTACTTATCAGAATAAAGAGAGTTGTTTGGAATGAGCACTCGGGATCACCCATAACCTACAAAACGAACGAATGAACTGCCACAAACTAGTGGGGTACTAGTCGGAGGTATTCCGATGCTTAAGTCAGTAATGACACGAGAGTGTGTATTCAATTTACTAGAAAAAGTGTGCATACCTTAGATTTAAGCTTTATCGGTATTTATAGGGAGCCAGTCCCAATTATTTAGGACTACAGTCCTCGGTGGAATATGGTAATATACCTAGATTCTAGTCAAACATTCCTTAATTCGTGTTTGAACGTTACAGGGTTTTCTTTCTCATTAGTTGATTTAAGTCACATGTTGATTATGCTATTTTATGATTTAGGCAATTTCGTTATTGGCTGACTAACACTGTCTTTGATTTTTCGGGATATCCTAGTTTTCTGCTCGGTTGGGATATCCTAACTATCTGCTTGGTTAGACCTAATTTAGCTTGGCTAGGATAGCCTAACTATTTATTCGGTTGAATCGTATGCTTGGTCATAGTAGAGTCATTACAAATAACTCTTTTCAGCATGTGCAAACCTGCCATGTGTCCAAGTCCTATTGTCAGATGATGATCAGAGTTTATCAATCCCTTCACTGTCATTCATCAAAATCCCTAGTGGGCTTTTTTGAATCCTGTTGATACCAAGTGAATTTACATGACTGAAATTGTGTATATTTTTTTGGATCCTGTTTGCACAAGTGGCTGCCATTCTATTTGAATCCACGTTTTTACTCTAATATTTATAGTATTATTCCAGGCCATTTATGTATTTGTATATGAACTAGTGGTAAGCCCCATAAAATGTTCAGGCTTGGAAAAGATGAGAAAAGGTGACGGAATATGTTTCTATCTCAGATTTCAAGTGTAAGCAATACCCAAAAAAAAAGAAAAATACAAAAAGGAGAACTTTTATAAATAGATATGCATGCTTTTGGGCAAGTACATTATATTTTAGAGTCACATAAGATTAGGGAAATAAAAATTACAAGTTTAAATTTGTGCCACAACTATTGGTTATCATATCCTGGTAACCTAATTTGTTGAAGCAAAGATGTACTCTCACAGATAAGTAATTTGGGCTTGCAAAGAGAACAACCGAAAGTGGTGTTAGGTAAACTCAAACAAAGGGAAGTATTGTGAAATAATTTACTTTGGTTGCAACCATGTTAGGAAATGACATGATGGAAGGAAACAAAATTCCCACTTTGTGGGCAACTATCTTCTAAGTACCATGTGTAGATCATATAGTTTTGGGATTTTTTTGTTCGGGAATCATAGAAAGGTTAATCTTGCCTACTATTAATAACCACAATTGTTGGATCTCCTAAATTATTTAGAACACAGGCACAGCATAGTGACTAAGGATTTGTTGGCAATTTTGGTTAAAAGGGAAGAAACTATATTACAGAGATGAGGTGGTTCATCAAAAGTAGAATAAAAAGAAAAGAACCGAAGATGATAGAATGTAAAAAATAAAAATAGAAGAGGGTAGAAAGTGGCACAAATTGAAAGGTAGAAGGTTCTTTTGAAAAACAAGAAGGAGAATCAGTGGAAAAAATGAACTACATGTGTGGCATAAATATAATGTAGTGAGAGCATATCGGGAAAATAATAATGGGAGCTGATAGCATTACCACTACTTTTTCTTGTAGGCAGTGAATGATTTTATATATGAACTTTTTGTAGGATTTACTTGATGAAAGGTAGTTTAGTGCTTTGTGTGGGTTTTTTTTTTTTGGGGGGAAAGGGGGGGGGGAGTGTATTATATAGTATATTTTTCTTGCAGTATGTGAATTTCTTAATGTTACTCTTTTTTTTTTTTTGAAGTGGGATGGAGTATATTCGTGTACCCTAATTGCTATGTATATGTAGATGCATTCACTCAGAAGGGAGTTGAGCGAAGGACTTCGTCCTCTCCATGAAACTTTTGTTGCTTTGATTCGTTTGTTTGGTTCTAAAGGCCATGCTACCAGAGGCTTAGAAATACTTGCAGCAATGGAAAAGCTGAATTTTGACATCCGCCAAGCTTGGCTGGTTCTTATTGGTACTGTGCCCCCCACCCAATCAAAAAAAAGAAGAATAATAAATGACTTCCTGACATGATTAACGTTGTATGAGGTGTTTTGTTTCGTATTTGAGCAATAAATCTAAATTGGCCATATTCTTGAAACCAGAGGAGCTTGTTAGAAGCAATCATCTGGAAGATGCCAATAAAGTCTTTCTGAAGGGTGCCGAAGGAGGGCTGAGAGCTACTGATGAGCTTTATGATCTTCTTATTGAAGAAGACTGTAAAGCTGGGGATCATTCCAACGCATTAACCATAGCCTACGAAATGGAGGCAGCAGGAAGGATGGCAACCACTTATCATTTCAATTGTCTTCTTAGCGTACAGGTATTTCTCTTAAATTTGTTGACAGCGTTGACCTCCTTACATGTGTGTTTTTGGTTTTCCTACTTAAGAAAAGGTCAGCACTCCTATTTGCTACTGGGGTACGCATCCATAAGTTTTCATATCTTCTGTAAACAGTGTGGGTATTTGTGACAGTCTAGTGTAATTTTAATCCATTAGTGGTTTACCAACTGTGAAGATTGAGAATGTTATTCTGGCAGCAAAATGGATAGCGTCAACCAGAGGCATGTAATTTGATTTGCTTTCTGGGTTGAAAAGGAAAAAAGAATGTTTAGAGAGAATAATTTCATTTGTGCTAATGGAGAAATAATTTCCGAATATGAGATATAGAAATGGTGGAATTATGCCCCTTTAGACTGTCACTGTGTGCAAATAATGCCAAACGTTAAGTTTGTACCCAACCCATCTATTCCAGACCCCAATTAATAGGGGACTAAACTGGGTATTATATTTTATGTAGTGCAGACAACTTACTGAAGTTTGCAGTGATGTTTAAGCGTGTTGTTGTCATATTGCATTTCTGTTCTTTTTTTCCTTTTTTTGTGAAGTTAAGTTCATAATATTCAATAATCTTACTGTTGTAGTGTTATGCAGTTTATATATTTTGTGCTTTGAATACAACAATCTGAAAGTTGTGTTAATCATATTATGTTATGCACACCAAAAAATTGGTACTCGTACATGATTACATTATAGTTCAAAAATCAAAGCGTCCCAGAGTATCTCCATGGTGGTTGGGAAGCATTTCCCTAGTATCTCTGGGATGCTGGCAATGACCACTCAACTAGGTGTATTCTTGTGAATGAGGAAAAAGGGAAAATTAATTTGGTTGGTTAATGATTACAAACTCATTTAGTTTGGACCCAACTGTTTTGATTACAACTTCTACTTATACCAATATCTTAATTTTTTCCCTTTTGGTAGGCTACTTGTGGGATACCTGAAATCGCTTTTGCCACATTTGAAAACATGGAGTATGGAGAAGGTTTACATTTTGTTTATATTTGTGCTTATACATGTTTAAATTTTTTCTTTGATTGTTCAGCTCAGTTATAAATTGCAGAATCCGTATAATGTATCCTACATGTTGAAAACAGTGGATTTTGTGTCTGCAAAATCTGATGCGGAAAGGAACTTGAATTTCATGAGAGATATTTATGACTATCTAATGCCCTCTTGTTTTCTCTCATAGCTTATTTCCAAGAAGGCTTTCCATCATATTTTGGTGATGGCATGACAGTTTAATTTCTTTTGTGAGAACTTGTTTTAACAATGCAATGTTTCAGTCTTGATGTAATCACCTGCAAATATACTCCATCTATCCGAATAATATGGTCCAACTTTCCTTTTTGGTAAATCCCAACATTAGAGTCTAATTTGAAAAGTCAAAACCTTTTCATTTAACACACCCAATATGCCTTGATGGAAGTTATGATAAGTATCAAAAAGGTAAAAAAAATCATATTTTATGGAAGGGTAAGATTAGTAAGTAAATGTTTCCCATTACGATTCAAAGCTATTCCTTAACAAGGGATTACATAACCATGTTTTACTCTATGCAAAAAGCAAACATACTTGTATACTAAGTAGGATAACTTAGTGGTTCTAAGAGTTCACCCTCACCAACCAATAGACATCAAAACAACGTGTTCCCTAGTGGATTAAGACTCGGTGCGCGCTCCCTTGTCCCGTGTCACACAAATGCACACATGTATTACTGACGTTCTTGTTGACAATGAGAGTTTGGGAAATTAATGTAAATGCAGCTTTTATTATCTACATATTTGCTTGTATTTGTGTGCATATAGTAACCCACTGACGTGTTATGGACTATGGATCATTCCTTAATTATTCTCGCGACTTTCTCTCTTAGACCTCTAATACTAAACCCAAACATCGTGCTAGAGCACTCAAAATCGTAACCCTAAAAAGAGAGAGGGAATGTCAAACTCAAATAAAAAGTGAAGTGAAAGCACCTACCTTATATTTTGGCGTATTAGTTTCAATGACAAGCCAAAGAGAGAGTTTTGTGTGTGCCTGCTTTAATAAGAAAAAAACTTCAAAAGCGTACTTGTTTTAACAACGGAAAGAGGTTCCTTCAGCGGTTCAGCTTTAGGTCTTAATTTAGATGTTGGCTCCAGTACGGGTGAAAGTGCCTGGACTAAGTGTCTCACTTGACTAAGTGTGTGAATTCCTACTTTAGGCTATTAATATTTAGCTTTAGCAACTTTTACTCATTATCCCACTTTCTTCCTGGACAATATGTTTGATATGACAGAAAATGGATGGATGAAAAATAGGAGAGAAGTGACACTTTCCTCTATTTGGGTGAGAAAGGAAAACAGGGGAAAGAAGAAGGGGAGGAAAGTGTAGCTATCTAAACTTTCCAAGTGCTTGTTCTGTCATTTTTTATGCGGTTTGATTCAGTACATTGTAATGAGAAAAAGGACAAATAGGCATGTAGAAGAGTGATCCAGTACTTCTCCTGTAGAAATAGTGCGCTTTTAGGGCCATCGTCCTCTTATATTTTATGCAACTCAACATTTAAATTGAGCTTTCCCTATCCAAGGTTGTGAAATTCTTCAATTGTCTTTAACAATCCTATTTATTTTTAGATTGATTCTTATGTTGTCTTCCTAGGCTACTATCCAATTCGGAATTGATTCTAGTCACTCTTTTCTTTTAATATCATGAAAAGGTTCGATTCTCCTACGGCATTTCACAATCGACCCTCTAATGATCAATATTTGGTTATCTAACAATTTTGTGAAAATGTTTTGTGAATTGTGAGGAACTGGCTTCATTCCACGACTGTAGTTCTTTAATTGTAAGGCCTGGGAGTAGCATCTGAAACACATGAGATTTTTCTAGAAGCTCTGCTTGAGCACCATCTGAAGGCCTCTATTGAGAAGAGCTTATTTATGAGCGAAAAGGAATGAGGGAGTTGGTTGCACACCATCTACTCATTAAGAGTCCAGTTATATTGTTAGAAAACGATTTGTGTCTAGGAGTGGCAACCTTGGATTGGCGAAAGAGGTGAGGAGTTTCCTCTACATGACAAACTGCACTTATTTTTGCTCTAGAGATTCATAAAATGTTTCCCTTGTCGATCTTATTGGGCCAGGAAAGAAGGAAACCTTTTGATGAGGAGAGGATTTAGAGCAATATTATTTGGGGTGGGTATGTAGTATGACATGTATGGTACTGGGGTGGGTATGCAGCGTGATATTTTCTAAAATATGCGAATCCATGTACTAGACCTAGTTGGTATGCTGTATTGAGAAGTTTTTCCTGTGTCACTCTTATTCGTATCACTTTGCTATTCTATGAAATTATACGTTTTTATAATTTTATACACATACTCAATTGGTATTTATTTTATACAATAGTGCACACCGCGTCGTGTCAGAAATTTAGGACATAAATTTCTTAGGTCATCTATAAGAGAAACTTAAAGTACATGTGTAATCAAGTTAAATGGTATATCATATTTTCTGATTTACATTTATGTCATTAATACCATGTCCTTTTTATAAGAATTACACAAGGTAACTCTAATTGTAAGAAAAAATAAAACAAATAAGTAGTTCGGTTTTTAATTTTATTACCATGTTACGTTATTATAAAAAGTATACAAGGTAAATCTACTAATAAGAAAACCTAAAGACATAAATAGTTCATGTTGCAATTTGAAGGGTTAGTGTTGTCTTAATGTATTTTTCAAGGGTAACATAAAGTGGTTCAAAAGTTTTTCAAACATCATGAGGTTTAGAAGTTTTTATTTTATTTGGTAATTTTTATATTCCTCATATTAGAATTTATAATATATGTATGTCTTTGGAGTTATTAAATTGTTGTTAGTTATTAAGTGATATTTTTAAGTATGAAGTGATATTATGTCCTTTTGAGTTGTTAAATGACAATAACGTTATTAAGTGTTTTAATAAGAATATTTTGGTTAATCATAAGTTTTTTAAGATAGTACACATTTGTATTATTGTATACAATAATACAAATGTGTACTATAGATTTGAGATTACAGCTCACTTTAGATTTGTGATAACATAATAATAATGATTGTGGATAATTGGCTTTATTAATTGCATATTTGAATTACATAAAAAAATAATAAAACTTTAAGATCTTTTAAAATAAAGAAATAAAGTAATAGTTGGGGTTCCAATTTGAGGTTACCCAAATCGTAAGTATTTGGAATTTGGATTACACTATCTAACGGTAACTTTGATGATCAAGTGTGTGAACCAACTTGTTTGGTGACGTGTGACCTTGGATCGTGGGTCGCCAATTGTGGTAACGTTCAGAGCATGCATTCTAGGCGCAGATGAAATCTGCAAAGCACCGGTGGCCATGCTAGACCTTCAGAAGCTGTACAAAATCAAGATGGACACATCTGCTCATGTTTTGTATCTGTTTATGGAAAGACGACCAAATGGTCTAATGTCATAGGTAGATGTTCAATATAGATCTCTAAAAGTATCCCTCATATGAGAATGAGAGGTATATATACACTGGCTTTGAAAGACTGACGACACTATTTGTTGGGAAGGAGGCAGATCATGAATTGGACCAGTTGGTCACTCAACAAGCCCTCTTAGTATCTAGAGATGCAGTCCAAGCCCAAGCTTCAAGAGGCACGTAAAATAGAATATATATATCAATATGTTGACAATGAAAATATGCATTTGTTAGCATATTAAGGGAAACTTTGTTAAATAATAGAAAAGAAGATTAAGAACTTTTATGTGGCATAAATTAGATATATTATGTGCTGAGCAAATTGTTTCACAAAAGAAATTCGTGGATAAAACTACTATTTTGTACATCTTTCAGTCTGCAATTTTCTGATGTTTGAAGATTCTTTACAGGTGGATGTGATTAAGTTGATATTATTTCTGATGTATATCTGAGGAGAACATGCAATATGGATCTGAGTTTTCTTTCCATCCTCTGCTGCCCTATAAAATTTGCTAGCATCAACAGGGATAGTAAAACAATGTAGAGTTTTTTTTTTTCAGGGTTCTCATCATATTAGCAACGTAGTTTGGTAGCAATTTTGTTCTTGCTTAGTTCCTTTTTCTCAGTTTCAACTGAATGTGGCTTCTCCTAGACCATGCTCAAAAGTAGTTAATATCCAACAACTTTAAAATTGGTAGAAAATCGATTGGATGGTGAATATCGATAGTAAGGAGAATTGGAGTAGCCATAATGTAGCAATTTTAGATAACTGGAAAAACTTGTACTTATGGATGCATATTCAGATTTGCTGTTTGTTCTGGTTATTGTAACTTGTCCCAACTTCTTGTAATAAAAGATTTCCAAGTTTCCTTTGATACTTATTATTAGCTTTGGATGGCAGATTATATGAAACCGGATACAGAGACGTATAACTGGGTGATCCAAGCATATACAAGAGCTGAGTCCTATGATAGGTGATCTCTGTCACACATAGCTATTCTGATTTATTATGACTACATATGATGAAGCCAGACTGTTTGTAGGACTTATTTTAGTCAACTTGAGTTTCTGGATTGATCAATGTAGACTTTGATGAGTTCAAGCTAGTAAAATTTGTCATCGACCACTCTGCATAAACTGAGCCACAATAGTCACTGCCTTTTGTGTCCATCTCATTTGGGCTCTGAACATAACAGCATAAAAGCATAACATTCTTGTGAGTTCTTATACAAACTTGTTTGCTGTCTGTATTCATATTCAAATTTCGTAATATCTCCTATCTGTCTAATATCTATTATCCAGATATGTGTTGTCCTCGTCCATGTCCGTTCAAGCACATACAAGTATGTTAAACACCATATGCTCTAAAAGTTTAAGCTGTTAGGGAGAGTGCAACTTAAGTATTTATACTTTAACACGCCCCTCACATGTGGGCTAGATTTTTGTCCTAGCACGTGCAAATCTTCTATTTACTAGGGTGGTGGCGAGATTCGAAGATAGGACCTTTTGTTCTAATACCATGTTAAACACCAATACTCTAAAAATTTAAGTTGCTAAAGAGAGTTCAACTTAAATATTTATACTTTAACAAAGTATACATGATATAAATCTCCATTGTCATACATAAGAAGTATTAATTTTGTGCAAGGAGTACATGAATAATCTGCCAACTGCAAAGTGTGCAATATGATGGTGAAAGCATGGACTTTAGGCTATCAGTCTATTTGCAATTGGAATCATATAATTGGCCCTGATTGAAATGCTTGTCTAGTTTAGGAGTTTTCTTTCATGCCTATTGGGCATGTCATGGCTTATTTTTATGTGGTTTATCCTGTAATTTATTGGGATTTCTACACTCTAGAAATATACACATAACCCCAATAGTTTCTGACCACTGAAACCATTAGGTTTTCCATTCAAGTTGCGGGCAAGTGATTTACATGCACAAGAAAAACTGGCATTGGGCAAAGAGTGAAATGTTTAATTTCAAAAGTATGGGTTCTAATGCCCATAACACCCTTATATACACACCAGTATCACTCTCTCATGCATAAATACTTGTACACTACATACAATCTCTTGCCTTGGCAAACATTGATCCGATAATGATACACGATACAAGACTATCACGAGTCTACCATAAATCGGTTCTGACTCGAGCCAACTCGGTACAACTCAGACAAATTCGGATTCAACTCAGACAAACTTGGTCGATTTACTTTCGAATAGAACTAATACGTACAGAATCGTTCAAGCAACAAAGAAAATGTCAAAAAAAAGGCAAAAAAGATGAGAAATTGTACCCTAAATTAAACCCCTTTTACCATAATAAAACAAAACAAGGAAGTTAAAACAAAATTGAACACAAACATGAAAAGTTGTGATAATTAGAGGCCATTTTCTACTATTTGTTCTTATTTTCCTTCTTCTTTGCAGTAACAGAGGACCCAACATCATCGATCAACATCACAGATCAATTGCAGAAACCCTAGGTTGCTTGACGATCGGACTACTCAAATAGCAGAAGACCCAGCCTTCACGAAGACTCTCGAGTAGCAGAGACCCATCGTCTCTGTCCTCTCTCCTCTCGTTTTCTATTCGTCGTAGTCTGAGAGTTGAAGAGAGAGGCTTTTGGGTCAAAATAGTGAGGCTTTGGCCTTATGAGACCCAAAAATTTATTCCCTCCCTTCTTTTTGTTTTTT